GACAAATACCACGCATCCACATCCTCACTGCCTTCACACCTTCACTTACAGCAACATGTGCGCTTAAAATACTTTGAGACTCTGTAAGGAGGTATTTAGGTAGATATAATACTATATATATTAATTCTATAGATACTAACATAATTCAAGATAGATCTATGAAGTTGAAGTTATTTTTGAAAGCCCTGACCAAGAGGGGCCGAACACGTGTGATTAAGATACTATGCTGAGAATGTGGAAAGAGAGCTTCTCTTCGAGCAATGTGCTTGCTTAAAATACTTCACTTTGAGACTCTTTAAATTGATATTTAGGAACATACATATTGTATTTCATAGGTATAAACACAAGTCAGGATACTTTTATTTTTTTAGAGCCTTTCTCAAGCGCGACCGAACATCTTTGATTGAGGCTACGTTGGGAATGAAATAGAATTTTAAGAATGTTCTTGAAAGCTCGGGCTCAGCCGGACCGAACAGAGATCATACACTTTTTATTGAGGCTATGTTGCGATTTGACGCAAAAGGGTTTCATTTCAACGGCAAAACTGTCTTATATTATCACATTACACCTATACTACTCACTAGTGATTCAAGAGAACATGTTATGCGTATCACGTACTTAAAACTTTTGTTTAGACCAGTTCACTTAATATAATGCTTATATGTACAATATGTAGGATTGCACGGTATAATTTTTGATAAATGAAACAGTCATATTACAACTTGAAACATAAAGAAAACGATATCCATTTGATATAATACCGATAAAAATGTTGAAATGCGTGTGGTGGTGCTAATTGTTCACCTTTGTTGTAGAAATCAGTTTAGAGGAAAGGGCAGTTTTCGAAAGAAAATTGGTGAGATATTATTACTGTATCAAAGTTGAATGAAGATAAAATAAGTTGAATTATAAGTCATGATACTATCATGTATTTTAACTATATATTTGCACTATAAAGAAACACCAGTTTTGAACAAATGAAAATATTTTAATAATGTTCTAAATTATTCGAATTAAGTCAACATGATTTATATTTTGTGACCATACTTTCATTACTTCACAACCTCCAAAACATGAAAAATATGTATTTTGAGCAAAAGTAAATATTCTCGCCCATGGGTGAGGTAGTTTAAATTTCAAGTTTTTGAAAAAAAAAATCTTTCCTTTTATTCACAGCATATATTCATGATAACTGCATGTTGAATTATGTCAAATCCTTTGTCAGAAAATGTCCACAGTGCGGAGAGTTTCTGGAATTTTGGATTTCAAGAATTAAATTGTGACGTGTATAATGCATTTTACGATCGGAAAAATGTTCATGAAGTCTCTGTCGTTTCGTATCAACGCTGGGAACCTGTTTATGAGAATATATGTTTTCGATATGAAACATGTTTTCTCCATGTATAACAACATCGTATAGCTGTAATGTTTCTGAAACAAATACGTACTCATGGTAAAGTCTGAACTGCACAACTGACATTTCTTATGGATACGGAAAGGGTTTTGTCGCGTCTATCTATACGATACACCTGCTCCTTCTTTGTTTGTATCTAAACCATTATAAGTCTATTATATATTTAAAATATACTTTATTGTTCCGACTATATGATCATGTGTGTGTGAATCACTGGCTGGTGCCGGCTATTTCCCTATCAGTAGCATCCGCCACAAACACATCCAAAGACAAGCCAACTGTTTGTGTACAATAATACGATAACGTGTTGTCACAACCCCTAGTGTACAGTACACGAATCCGTTGGTATATGACCCGATGGTGGCCACATGAACACGTGCAAACACCTAGTTGCGGGTACAACAACGTGCAGTAAGCAGTAAAATAAGAGCAAGGGAGCTCATTGGCTATAAATAGAATATGTCCCATCCGATCGCTGACGCTTTTCAGGTTAAGGCCAAGGTCGTCAATGGCGAACGGGCACGACGCAATTCTGTTTGCGATGAATAAATGTACGTAAACTCATTATGACAGTGAGGTGTAAGTGTCTCCGAAAGAATGGCGACTAGCGCGCTGACAGGTGCCATCAGTTCAACATGTTTTGGTGCATGTCGTTTGTGTATACTGTGAAATAAACTAGAAAATGGGTGTTACCGCTACAAATTCTGAGCAGGGATTTTGGCTCGGAATCGAGAAATCACAATGTTTCAAGCTTCCGAAGACCGTAGCTCCCAAAGTACTGCTTCGATATTTAAGCTGTAAGAATTATTTTGTAGGTAAATCTATTGGCTTGAAATGTGTGCATACTTTAAATGGGATAAATACAGTGAGCATTGTTGAATTTGCCTTGACCCCGTCAGTGACAGTATATACGTTGATGGCAGTTTTTAGCTTTACAAGCCCCTGTGGTTATTCCTTAATTACACACATGCTCAAATTCAACGTTGCATAACGACGCATTGGGCGTATAAATTCAGCATTATGACTTGATGAACCGATCATAGACTGTTCACTCAAAGTGCTAACTGATGTGACAATAAAGTGCGCAGATTTCTCCAAGAATAACATAATGAATGCTATCGATCATATCATCAAACAAATAATATTAGGGCTTTTTATCTTATTGGTTTGATTTACACATTCCATATGTCTATATCACCTAACAAAATTGGTATCAATTATAAACTTAAAATCACTTCGGAAATATTAGGATTTTGATCATAGGCATTCAAATGTTGTGAATAGACACACATAAAAGTATACTTAGTGTGGCCACATGATTCATTGAGAAGTTGGTTGGTTTGTTGTTTAACGCCGCACGCATCAATACTATCCAATATAACCAAGTGATCAACAGCATGAGCATCGATCTACGCAATTGCGATATGATGACGTGTCAACCAAGTCAGCGAGCCTGACCACCCGATCCCGTTAGTCGCCTTTAACGACAAGCAAGGGTTGCTGAAGACCAGTTCTAACCCGGATCATTACGGGTTGATTCATTTAGTAACGTCTTACCTAAGCTAATGTTGCTGGAGGATGGACATCCTACCAAGAATCCCCTGACATGGCGGGGAAGTCAACGAGGAGTAGTTAAAGAATATGGAAAGTTAACACAGTGCACATATGTATGTACATTCTGATCCAATGCAGCGTGTGATGCAGGCACCATCTGGCGAGATTAATAATGGCAGCAGAACTAGGACATTTATACACATTACATAACGATTAGATATTCAGTTTTATTACAAGGGAGCATTTGGAAACGTATATGACGAATCATTCAGATATATGTGTGTGTGGAGGGGAGGGGTGTGTGCAAGTGTGGTAATTCATTTAATACTCAATTAAATTTTGCGCTTGTTTTAATTACCCGTTGAAAAAATATTTGTGTGGCGAATGAATGGAACATAAGGAATGATTCGACCAGCTAATTTGCAGCCCTTCCAAAAGAAGCTTTTATCTCCGAGATGGATTATATGGTACGATAAGATTAAACAATTTGAAAAACATGCCAAGTTAGAATCATCTCTATAGCGACCGTACGTAGGTCACCACACTTCGCGAGACTTTAGTACTTGGTCCGGTCTATTAAAGTCATATTTGGCGGTCGCGCAATTTGGAACCAGCACTAATCTGGAAATCTGGTACCGGAAGTAAGCTGGGCCCCGTCTCGCATATAGCAAGTTGGCGCGCGCAAAGGGAGGCGAGAATTTAGCTTAGTACCGGGAGTAGCGCCTCGCGAGGCTTACAGGCCCTAACCTCAAAGTACTCGCCTAGCTGAGGTAACGTGACCCCAATAGATGATCAACTCATCGATTCATGTCAATTTGGCTTCGTGATTTCATACAAGTCAGCAGATGGTTAGTCTGTTTTGAAATTGGTTTTTAACTGTTCAATTTAAGGAGCACGAAGAGTTTACAACACTTTAATTGAATACTCCACATAAGAACAATTGAGACGACTGCCGATTTGGTTCAAGGGGCCCTACTCTCATTTGTCACACCAAGCTATGCATTTGCAGTGAAGTTTTTTGCATTACTCACTTCGTTCTTGTTTAAAGTAATTTGGTGTGTTTGGCGCATGCAGACTTTTAGAAGCCCAAGTCGCCCTAAAACCCAAATACCATACAGACACGAAGGTTTGGATGTTGTGATTATATTTTGATTTATACTTTGTGATACATGCAATGCTTTGAACACCTTTGTAATGCAGCAATGATTGATCTTTAACAAGTACATATATATTCAATTTCAACCGTATTTATTCTCTTGTTCTGCGAAAGATCAAAGGCAAGCGTAAGTACTCACGCACTTGACATAGTCAAGTAATATATACATAAGATACCGTTCTGAAATGCATGTAAAGTGTGTTTTGCATTTCTAGTGGATGGAGATGACGTTGCAGAGTAACGTGATTATGATAATGCATACTTTTTGCTTTGATATACATGCATGTCAGAGCAAAAACTATATGCATTATCATAATCACGTCAGTGTCGTTTCATTGTCAGTCGGAAAGAAGCCAACTTTTGAATACTAAAATGTATATCCTTATAGTTGTCTAGACGAAGAGCTATCATCATTACAAGTTTTAACGAAACATCTAAACAGATATGACAGAGAAACGATATTTTGTTGACAGGTCTAATAGCTGCCTTCTCCAAATGAAAGTTATTATCTGTGATCAGCTGAAATACAGACTTTAGCTGCCCAGATCTCTGTCTACTGACATAATGCAGTCTCCACAATTTAGTGATATAACTATTACGCACCAGAATGACACAATATGAGTCTTTGGATTCGTGGAAAAAACCCGGCCTACTCTCCACTGTTCTGTGTTGAAAATATACTCTCCGAAAAAAGTAAGGGATCATGAACTGTTATAACCGGTTGCCAAACGAAAGTTCAGTTTTGAAAAATGTCTCCCTCGAATGTGGGCAACGTCGATTATTTACAGACCGCAGCCACATGGCTGGAATGTTGCTGAGTGCGGCGTTAAACAACTACCAGCCAGCCAGGCAATATATTGTGGATGCTAAACTTACCTTGTTCTGTAGCCACACGTTTTGAAGTGGTAAAACACAGTAAAAGTCAGTCTGTTCGCAGTGGAAATTTCCTATGTATTTAACGAGACTGTCTGATAAAGCGTGTATATTTTCTGGAGGTCGTCGTATTTTGTTCACAGCCGTCACGGTATCAAGTGAGCAGAGACATGCCGTATCAACTGTAAGGTGCCTTATATGGTGGCGTATCTCAAATAATAGTTAATATATTCCAGGTCGTATGTCCTGCTGAGGATAGACACTATGCTTGAATGTATATGTCGGTGTTTATCTTGGATGTGGTGACGGATTAACTGATAACCAATGACTGACGCTACGATTAATTTGCTCAAGTGTGGCGCATCAGTATAATGTTGCATAATCCATCTTAGCAGCTTTTATAAATGTGTGCGAGTCAATGAATATGTATAAGGTGTGTTTTTCAATCAGTTGGATCTTGAACCAGCTGCAAGACATGCTTGCCATCAGCCACGTTTAGTGATTGTTTCAACAGGTGGTTTGGTGGGTAGGTGTTGGAGCAGGCAGACAGAGAGGAAGACGGGCGGACGGGCGGGTGGGCGGGCGGTCACTCAGACACGTATTTGGCCATTGAGGTGGGTAGGTGATCAGACGGGTGGGTGCGTGTATGCTAGTTACATAGGTACGTTAGGTAATGCGCACGCGAGGGTACATTGCCAGTGATATCTAGGAAGGCTTTACCTGGCTAGCTATTCTCGAAACGTTCGTAGCCCTACGAACTTCTTAAGCCCATTCTTAACACATTTGCTACGATCAAAGTTAAGAATTCTTAGGGCTACGAACGTTTCGAGAATAAGGGCCCTGAATGCTAACGTCGCCGGTCCTAGATTAAATTTCCAGACTTCGAAGATATGACATCACAGTGTTTATCGCCACAATTCTCTTGATAAATCTACTCCTGCGCATAAATCAATCAATTGTAGATCTGTTTTCAAGAATAATCCACTTTTGTCGAACTCATCAGAAGGAAGGAGGTTGGACAGTCACATCTAAGTGTTGTCCGCACACTTATTGAGTGAGACAGGGTATAAGTGTTTCCTCACATGGGATCATGTCGTGGCTGTTGTGTATTGTGCGCAAACGCATCCCAAAATGTATTTGTAAACATTTGTCATAAAACATGAAAACGATACATGAAAAGTGCATGCAGAAAGCGTTTTCCATGTAATGCACGTGCAATATGTCGAAAACATGATTAGATACATCGAGTATAAAAGGCAAAACTAAATTCATCATTTCATTACGAAATTTACGACGTAAACGACTATAAACAAGACGACAAAGTCATCAATATCCCCCGCAGTTAACTTTGTCAAATGTTACATTGTTCTTCACATTGATCTAACTAAACAATACATATGTAAACTATATTATATACTAGCATGCTTGTATCAACAACAGACAGCCTGAGTGCTTCTACGGTTTGATGTACCTCAGTGATGTTGATACTGGAAATAGTATGGTAGTGTTGATTTATATCATTACGTTCTTGAATACCCACAAAATAGAACAATAGTATTAAAAGGTTTTAAAGTTCTGCCCTGGATAGGAGCACTACCAACAATGCCAGTCAAAATTAATCTTGTTGCCAAGGAATTGCAAATATTTATTCAGAAATCCGAAACTATCAAAAAGCACCAGTTGACCACCAGATCTATCTATGTGCCACATTTGGAGAAGAAACATTGAACGGTTTTTAAGTTCTGCTCCGGAAAAGAACACTACCACCAATTTCAGGTCAAGTCTAAGTTGTTGCCATGGAAACGCAAAACACATTTTGTTCAGAAATCCAAAACTACCTAAGGCACCAGTTCACCACCAGACCTATCTATGTGCAAAGTTTGGTGAAGAAATATTTTAGGAAAAGTCGAATTCGTACGAATGGACGGACGGACTCATAGACGGACGGACTCCAAAATAATACCGCCTGCAAAACGCGTTGCGTGGGATAAAAATGTCAAGATTGAACGCCACTGGCCGAAATATCGCCATTGGACGTTTGGAATCCCAGTCTGCCGTTGCAAGACACCTCAAGTCCACCACAACACTATATCTCAATTATGTCATCGATGTACCAACTTCAATTCGGCCCAAGATCGTCCCAGGAGTGGAAGACCAAGAGTAACCACTCCTTTTCAGGACCAATTCATCCCAATGTTTCACCTACGTCACCGATTTGCCTTAGCAATGGACACTGCATGACAGGTGCCTCGTCTTCGAAGACTTTCCGACCAAAACATCAGAAATAGTCTGAGAGAAGTGGGAATTCGAGCACATCGACCAAAAGTTGGACCTGTCCTGACACGACTATACCGACAACGACGTGTCCAATGGTGTAACAGGGTAAAGGCGTGGCTCCTGGGCAAATGGCGACGCGTTTGTTTCAGCGATGAATCGCGTTTCCTCCTGCAGCGATGGGATGGGAGACAACGTGTCTATCTACGTCGACGTGATTGTTTTGCGCCAAAATGCGTTTGATTGGTGGAGAAAACGTCATGATGAGGGGGGCTTTGTCCTACATGGGTAAATCAGAGCTAGTGGTGGTTCAAGGCGATCTTACAGCAAATCGCTACATCAACCAAATCTTGCGACATCACCTCCTCCCACTTTTTAACCGCCAGAGGGAGTAGTTTCAACACAACGCTCGACCCTGCAGAGCTCGTGTAACAGGTGCCTGTCTCGCCAATGCAAACGTCATTGTCCTTCCATAGCCTTCCAAATCGCCTGAACCCGATGGAGCATCTGTGGGATGAACTTAATCAACGCGTCCATAAACGTCACAATCGTCCTCAGACACTTGCAGAACTTGCTAATGCATTGCACCAGGAATTGCGAAGAATTCCTCAAGCAAAAATCCAAAGACTTGTGCAATCCCACCCAAGGCGGTGTCGAATAGAGACGGCTGCAAGGGGTGAGTTAGTATTCTAACGTTAGTATTATAACGTAATTTCACAACGTTACTGCAACGTTACATATATACGTTGTCTCGACTATCACACAATTACTTGGCGTCACGATAGAGTTTTCTGTAAAGATTTTCACTTTGAGATCCGATCTTCACTATTCAGCTACAGCTTCAGGAAACACACGACCAAATCAACATGCAAACTGACGAACAAACATTGAAGTGAATTTCTCCTGTACTGTTCACGAGTGGGAAAACTGTTCAACTATAAACTTTAAATGGAAAGTTAAGACAACGTAAAATACGTTAGCATCAAATAACTTTAACATCGTAACGATGTGAAAATGACTTAACATAACGTTGTGACAACGTGAAATTGTTAGTTGGGCAGGTACTGACCTGAACGCCCCCTTGTGTCTACACATGTGCAGTGTCTATACATGTTCATCTAAGTTGAAGCTTAATCGATTTTTGTCCACTTAAATACGTTTAGTACATTTCCTTACTTTTGGCCATTTTTAAGAGTTTACCTAACCGCCCGCGGGGCAGCCACCACGCACGATCAATCGCTTGTTGTACTAAAGGCACTTGGTATGTCAAACTTAACCGACCTCATTATGTTATTGTTGGGTCTGACGTGACAATAATGTACTAGACATAACATTGAAATACTAATAAAATCGACATAAGACAGTATTGAGACCAAAGTAGCATATGCTAGAGCGTATACAGATCTAAGCTTCATCTTTTGGCTTCGTCAAGCTGGCAGCCAGTATTTTGTAACTCGCCTGTAAGAAGAGAACAAAGGTTATTTCTTCAGTTTATCATGCACAGGGACAATTGAGTCGTACTCGAATTGTTACCTGCATGATTTAGTAACACCAGAACCGTCGACGTTCTGGCCCTAACATCTGAGGACGTTGGTTCTCTGCAGCTTTTCAATATTGCCCATCTGCATTAAAGGGGCACTAATCCAGAGCAATTTATGTTTCGCGCCAACAATCGCCTATCTTCCAGGTGGCCAGTCCCTGCTCCCTCGACCGTGACGAACACGGGGATTGGGCAAATGTCCACCTTGGCAGAATTTCTTCAACCAAACCAATGGGTCAGTAAGAACAGTGGATGACCATCAGAAGCCGTTATTTGAAAATGTATGTATAATACCATGCCGTACCAAAATGGAAGCACCTCCAGTTGCTTTATCTCACGGAGGGGGAAAAGGAATGATAATCGCTGTCCTGTCTTAAGTTCAAGGTATCTGTATTTTTTAGATATGCTAAATCTGTAGATGATCTATTAGTCCGTCTGTCTTGTGAGGACAGGGTACCAGACATTTCAGATTGTTGTTTTTCTCAGGCAGACTGTTTGGCATCCGGAAGTAGACTGCGGACGTGGGTAGAATGGCTGAAACGGGTTTTTCTGACTTGATCCATGTCAGGTCTGACATGCAACAGAGGATGTTACTACTGCACAAGTAACTTCAGCGGAATATGTTATATTCAACGGAGTTGAGGTCTGATTTGTATACAGTGTTTGTTTTTTTTTGCATATAAGTATGAAATGTTCTTTTCACACTTAAGTTTCAAAATGTTCACTTCCCTTTGCCTCACAGGGCAGGATGAGGACCTTCACAATTCGCGCAGTTATAGTCATTTTGGCAGTCAGTATCGTCATGGCGGTCTCTACAACGATGACACGATTTCGACCCATGACCAAAATGTTGACAAGTAACACAGGAGTGGATGCTGACTGGTGAAACTTAACGAACTGTCAACCAATTATATTTGGGAAATATATGTAAAATGTATGGATTGTATAAAAAATATATACAAGAACTGTATCGGCCTCACACTTCCCTCCATCGAAAAATGACGTCTACGTCATGTTACCTGGCCAATGACAAAATTTAAGATTGCATCAGAAAGTCTCTGTTGTCGCCTTCGGAACAATCCGTATTTTGTAAATAGAACTGTCGGTACATGTACAAAATATGAATCGATATAATGCAACAGATGAGTTTGTTATTTGTGATATTTGTACTGTTTTTGGATATGAAACTACCACATAAATACTGTTCATGTTGAAAAAGTACAAAACAAAAGGAATAATAACATTTTTTCGTGTAAACTTGCAAGTATGCATATGCAGCAGAGAATGTTTGTCTTCCATGTGATTCCCACTACAGAACCGACATCCTCATTCCCTGATTCAAGGGACTGCCTAAAACCTGGACCAAGAGAAGCTGGGACTATTTCAGACTGTCAATAACCAGGAACATAGTTTTTTCTTCAAAATTTGCTTGAGCTTTTCATGCAGGCATACCTCCGGATAGATCAAGCATTGCAGT